TCTGCTATGTTCGAGCTGTGCCGCGGCCCTTCCAAGTCCAACGTCGCCAGGACGCCTTGGCCAGGCCCTGTCCGTTCAGGCGCTGTCCGCACGCCTCGTGCCCCTTTTGCTCCGTTGGGTCCGCAGCCAGGGCGAGTGCCGGCGCCTGCAGGTAGCCAACGGCCGCGCCAGAGCTTGGCCAGGGGCAGACAGATGCGGCGAAGGGGAGGGGAGGGCGGCCGCGAAGGAAAAGCACGGGCCGGAGCGCTTCCAGGATCCTACCTTACCACCGCTGAGGACATGCAGCAATGGCTACCAGAACAGGCACGGCGAGGCGCACTACGCACCCACATACATCCCCAATTAAAACTGCAGGGTGGATGCGGGCACCGTGGAACCATGCAGAGGGATCTTCTCCAGGCAGGACTCAGAATCACAAGCGGCACCACAGCAGCTCACCACAGAGTGCACATACATCGCAGTGTTCTGGGGCCCAACAAATCTGGTATTCAAAACTGTCGAACGCTACCAGTAAGACTCTCTACGACCACCACGCGACCCTAGCATGCCTACCCGCGACCGACCAGAGCTGTCAGAACAAAGTGCACGTGCGTATGGAAGAGGCGCTGCGACTGAATCTTGTTTCTACCATTTTGGCGACTGCTTATTCCTGGACCGACATGGACTAGGGCACCCACGAATGACACCTCGTTGCTAGAATGTCACCAAGTATAGGGATGACAACAGCGCCGCCGAAGGACAGGCCGGTTACAAAGGAGATGGCAAGCAGAAGCCGTTGACCATCATCAAACGGGACAAAGCAAGGCAGATTGCGGAAGAGATACGCGGCAATGTGTACTTACCTTTCCGCTCAAAGGGCATCACGAAAATCAGAAGACATGCTTTCAGCAGACCAAGCAATCAACTAATAAGTGCAGAGCCTTCCCGATGGACGATGGCCACACCGTTCACTGTTGAACAATCTGTCGCATCCCACGCTGATGTTGTACATATTCGCACCGGGCCATCAGCGGCCACAACCACTGCGTGCACCTGAGGGTTGCCATGGGGACCATGCCAAGGCCATGCGCCCAACGACCGACGACTGCACAATCCACGAGGTCATCCACCACGTCGCGCCCCAGACCAACGGAGGGCCCCACGAGCTGCCGGGAGGCTAGGTGCCGAGCAATCGCTGCAGCGAAGACGAGATCGGTTATCTGGATCGCTGCAGTGCGTCACGCAGGCTGCTGCTGGGACCAGCACAGCCCATGGACGTAGCGCCAGGATCGGGCGCGGGCAGGCGACTGGCGTTCCAGCTGAATTCGGGGAGCTGCGACACGCGAGGCCAGTCACAGTGCGCAAGAATTGGACAGACCGAAGCAGGGGATGAGATCGGCCGCATCATCGCGGCATGGGCGATCGTCGAAACAGGGAACGCGGAAATGGAGCTGATGAACATCGCCAAGGGGTACGAACGCATACGAAACCCATGCGTCATCGTCTACGCACCGCAGGCCAAACAGCCGCCACCAACGCGCGCCGACGCTCAGGCCGAGGCTCAAGCCCAGGGCTCCAACTCGACCACGGTACCGGACCAGGCAGCAGTGACGGCAAGAAGGGTGGCATAGAGCAGACGAGCACCATAAGCAAGAACGAGCTCGATCCTACCAGAAGCCGGGGACGTGCAGGCCAATCCGCCCAAGAACATGCGCAAGGTTCGACGCAAGAAGGTTACTTCCCCGTCGTGATCTTCTTCAAGCCGGCTACGGACCACCCAGACGGCGACGTCATCCAGGCTCACAAGGCTTACAAGGACTGGGCCCCAGAGGACAAGAACAATGACATACGCCTCGCCATCCAAAAGGGCGAGGGCGTCCACGCCACCTGGATCCAGCCGCCACACGACCCGAGGGAATGGGCACCGACGGGCCACTGGGCATGGGGCAAGCGGACAAAGAACGGCGTCACACACCAGGCACATGAACACGGCGAGGACCCTGACTCACCGTGCCGCCACACCGAGGAAATGGACCCAAGTCGCATGATAGAGCACGAAGCGTACACCGCCAGCATCACATATACTATCGGGAGCGTCCGTCTTAGCATGGACACGGAGGACCTGAACGAGTACCGCAGGGTAGTGCGCTACTTCGTGTACCACGACGTCTACCACGAGAAAACCGCACACCGTCGGACCAACCAGCACAATGCGCATGGCAGGCCAACCGCGGACACAGGGTCCAGCTCCACTAGCCCTACTAACTCGACTTACCGACGCTGCTTCCACCCGCCGTGCTCCCAACCAGGGCAGTGCGGATACCGATCGCAGGGAACAGCTGCATCCGCAGCAACGACCCCAGTACAGCTCGGCAACTACGAATGCCTGCCGTATGCGGCCTGCAGGGCCCGTGGCACGGGCCACCCTCACCGCGAAGAGCAGCAACAACATAAGCTAGACCACCTCTCCTAGCGCCGAACCTCTGAAGCTGCAGCCGCCACGTGGGGTACAGCTCCCCCATTCCTCCATCAGTTTTGCTTGGACGGGCGACTCTCCACCTCTCAGCTGGGTCACACTCCCCTCACAACACTTCCATGCCCTACCTGACCCAACCTACGCACTCACTGCCATAGCGATGCCCACGGCAGCAGCAGCACCACCACCACCACCAGCACCACCCCAACAACAGAACCGCGCAAGCCCTCCTCACCCACCACGGCGGCGCCTCCAGCGGCTTGCGACTACAACCTCCGAAAAGTTCTCAGACCCTTTCCGTCCCGAATGGGGCCCCCGTGACCTGCCATGCACGGCCTGGCCACTGGGTGGGTGGGGAGCCCTGGGGGCGGAGGCGGGCACGGACACCATCGACTGCGCCCAGCTCTCCACCCACCTCACTTCCCTGCACCGCTCCCGCACGCACCAGCTCTGCCTCAAGTGCTGTGCGGCCCGGCCGCGGCCGCCCCGCCCTCCCCCCTCTCACCTCCAGGAGCAGGCATATTGCAGACGGGAGGCGGCGCTCCCTCCCCCTCCTCCCCCCTCCCCCCCGCCTGCCCCCCCTCGGCGGACCACCAATTGTGCCCCCCCCTTCAGCCCCATCGGCCTGCTCGCCCCCGCCCCTCTCCACCCGTGGTGGTTCACCTGGGTGGTCTGTGTGCCAGCGGCCGCCACCTGCGCGACCCGAGTCCCTCCCTCGTCGAAGCCATGCGAAGAATACGCAGAGCAGCTAGTTCATATACGGAGCGTTGTGGGTATGTCTCGTAGATTCGACGGGCAGTGAATTTTGGGGTAACTCGATTCTGTAGTCGATCCCCTACTCGAGAGCCGTGTCATCTCCTTCCAGTCCCGCTCGCTGGCCCAACCACCGGCCGACCGAACCGTTTTTCCCCAGGCCCCCCCTCGCACTCCAGACGGTGGGGGGGGGGGGGGCGAGGGTTCCGTTCGGACAGCGGGAACCAGCCCGCAGCCCCGAGCTTCGAGGCGGAGGAAGAGGATGAGGAGAAGAGGAGGAGGAGGAGGAGGAGGAGGAGGAGAAGGAAGAGGAGGAGGAGGATAAGGAAGATAAGGAGGAGGAGGAGGAGGAGGAGGAGGAGGAGATGGAGTAGGTGGAGTGGGAGGTATGATGAGGGGGGAGGAGGAAGGAGTAGGAGGAGAAGGATGATGATGAGGAAGGTTGAGGAGGAGGAGGAGGATAACAAAGGAAAAGTTGGAGTAGGATGGGAGGAGGAGGAGGAGGAGGAGGAGAGGGGGGGAGGAGGAGGGAGGAGGAGGAGGCAAGGAGGAGGGAGGAGGAGGACGAGGATGAGTAGGAGGAGGTGAGGAAGAGGAGGAGGAGGGATAGGGCAGGGGGGAGAGCGGCGACGACGACGACGACGACGACGACGACGACGACGACGACGACGACGACTCAGAGCATTCAGAGCCCCAGGTCATCAGGGCAGGGGGGGTCAGGTACAACTCCTTATTCGGGCCTCCTTTTTTCGCGCCGGGGTTGCCGCGGGTTGCGCTCAACTCGAGCTATCCCCAGTCGCACTCTGCCCCATGGATGTTGTCCAGCATTCTCCTCAAACGTCTCTGCCCCATGGATGTTGTCCAGCATTCTCCTGAAACGTATGTCGACACGGATCAAGCGG